TGAAGACGATGATAAATTTGTAATTTTTGGTTTGGTAAAATGATTGTATTTTAGTCTACATAATGCATTCATTAAAATTTAAAATTATCAATTTCATTCATTAAGGGTCTTGAAATTGCATTTAAAAGTCACGATTTTGGCCAATTTTGGCTGCTCTTGAAAAAATGGAAAAAATAGTAAAAGTTGTGAAATTTTTAAATTACACCAAAGTAGGTTTGGTTTACTGCCAACCAGGCGAAAATATGAATTTATTAAAAACTATCCTCCTACTCTTTCTTATCTTATATATATATATATATATATATATATATATATATATATATATATATATATAAGATAAGGTACGGTTGCTCAGTGTTTCTCGGTTCAAATCCCGAAGATGCTAGAAAAATCGAATGTATAGTTTTTCATAATTATCAAATATTAGTTCAAAATATTAAATTCAGGTGGCGCATTTCGACCTTGACACTTAGTATATTTCTGAAAAACACAAGGTTCGCACTTGACTATAAGAGAGATACATAAGTGAGAGAGATGACGAAGGTAGAGGAAGAACTGGGGAAAGAGAAGGGTAGAGGCAGATGATGAATAAGAGAGATGGGTATGAGACATATGCTTTATTCAAATTCAATATTAACACTTTGCCGTCCGCACGTCTTGCAAAAATTTATTCACTTATCGCCGGTAGTGCTAATTCGTTATAACTTTGCTTGTCCCCGCCCATTCTGGATATTATCGAAAAATTACAAATTTTTAGGTCTTACTAATGTTGACGGATATAACTTTTTGTTATCTAAATTAAAACACCAACAGGAATGAAAGATATTTGCCAATGGCCAAACGAAGGTACTGTGCTCATGACACCACTGTGGTGTCGCCCGCTGTTGAGCGCTAGTTCGCGCCCGGCACCACTGTTGTGTCGCCGGACGGCATACTGTTAATATAGTATGATAATATAAAAATAACTCTTGTAATCAATATATCAAATAGCCGAGTGGTTTAAGTGACCGCATACTCGGTGAAATCACTCTGGAGGCATAAGGTGAAGCGGATTGAATCCAACTCTGAAGCAGAAAAAATGGATCAGTGGCGGTGGCTGGCTGTTGGCAGGCGCAGTGGGTCCTAAAACAAACGCACGAAGTGATGTTCAACCTGAGGTTCATGGTGCGAGAGGTTACACGCAGGGAGACACATTGTGCAAGATGCATGCCGTACCCAAAAACTACAACATGCAAAAAAAACAACACCAAAAAAGGAAAAAATGTGAAAAAAGCGGAAAAAAGGGAAAAAAGGAGGAGGAGGAGGGAGAAGGAGGAGGTGGAGATTCTTGCATTTTTGAATTTAGTTTGGCAGGAAGTTTCTATCATTCACTTTCTAAATCTCATTTGCATAAATAAAATCTTATTAATTGAAGATTGAAGATTTTAACTCCATACACAGTCCATCACAAGGGTTTTTTTTTGGTAATGCATCAAGTTTTATGAAATCTATAAGTTATAGTTTTTTTTAAAACAATATCATTTTTAATTTAATATGCTCTCACAAAAAAATTCGACTTTTCAAGTCTTTCTGAATCGTTTGAGACCACATTTTTAAAAAAAAGTGTGTACATGAGCCTAGTGGCCTTTTTAATAGACAAAAGTTTACTTTTTTAATTAAACAATTTATTTTATATTATGTAGATATACTTTTTAACTTTGCTTTGGGTAAGTTATAGTAATTGCAAAAGAATCAAAATTTTTTTTTTATCTTGACGTTTCAAGGCCCTCTGAACTTTTTGGTATACTTCAAAATTGATACGAAGACGTTCTGATTAGGTTTTTGCTAAGGCTGGTCTAGCCGTTTCGAAGATACGAAGCAAAAAGTGCAAATAGAAATCAGAACCTTACACCATGTGTAAGGTCGTATTTTTGTAGAAAGTAATCCGACTGTTGATCCATCCATATTTCATTACTTTATTATTAGAAGTTATCATTATCAGAACTAGGGCTGACTTATTACAAACTTCCCGAAGAAGCAGTTTGTTTGAAAACTTAGAGTTTTTTTGCAAAGCATTGTTAACAAAATTTGTACTCATTATTAATATTCTTAAAAAGTACCTGATAATTTGATGTGCGTATGTTCAATGATCATTTTTTACCACCAAGTGTTATTTGCATAACTTTTTTCTGGATCTTCACAACCGCTGAACCTGACTTCCCAAAAATTGGCTAATTTTCATTTCGTCAATATGAGTAAAATGTTTTTTAAATCATTCAAATCGGGCACTGCGTTCGCTCAAAACCCGAATTTCTATTTTTGGCATTTTTTGTCTCGCATCTTCGAAATGGCTGAACATGCCTTTGCCAAAAACTAATCAGCACGTCTCCCTATCAGTAGGAATCGAATGGTTCTTGATTTATGCAAATCGGTTGATCCATGCTCTCGAAATCGTGGACGAAAATTAGTATTTGTCCTAATTGCATACATACATATTACTTACATCCAAACATACGCATACACAAACATCGAGAAGTTAAAAATGAAAACAAAAATTGTACTGATTATTAAAAATTTTGTAAAATAATTTGATGTGCAAATCTACATTGATCATTTTTGACCACCAAATGACACTTTTTTGGACCACCAAATGGCACTTTTTTGGATCACCAAAAACGTTGACCCTTCCATCGCAAGAATTTAGTCAATTCTTTATTTCGTCGCACAAATAAAATGTTTTGAATTTTTCAATCGGATAGAGAATCAGCCTCTAAAAATTTTAATAGCTATTTTCTATCATTTTGCCCCCTATTCCGAAATGGGTAAAACTGTCTTTACCAAAAGCTAATCAGCACATCTTCCCGACAATTGAATCATTCAATGGTCTATTTGTCTCAAAAACGTCAACAAAAAAATGTAATCGCAAATACACAATCATACATTTATTTTTTCTAAAATATGCCAAAATGTACAGAAGGTTTTGAAACGCGAATATTTATAAACAATTTCATTTGCGTTTCGTTTTTCGAAATACTATGACTTACCCGTGAAGGGAATGCCAATTGGTGGTCAAAAATGATCAATGAACATAAGCAAGCCAAATTGGCAGATATTTTAGTTTGATTCACTTTTATAGATGTCATTTTAAAGAAAAAACTAGTGGGGTGCATGGCATCGTGCCTTAAGGTAAAATGCTGGAACTTCCCGTACCGTAACAAAATATTCAAGGAATATTAAATATTTTCAAATAGATTATTATAAATACTGTAGCATTGTCTAATATTTATAAGAATTATATAAACAAAATTGCAAAGTTGAAATTATTTGTTTAAAGTGTATTAGAACTTCAGTCAGAATTAAAATTAAATCTGAGTTATTTTCAATATACAAAAAAAATTTTTTTGAAACAATTTTTTTTCCAAAAGCAATTATTTTGTTAAAACAAGCAGAAAGTTTTTTGAATCATTCAAATCGGGCGCTTAGTTCTCTCAAAAACTGCCATTTTCTGCACATTTAGCTCTGTATCTCCGAAACCGCTGGACCTGCCTTTGCCAAAAACTAATCACCCCTTCTCCTTGTCATTACAAATTGAATTTTTTTTGGATCATTCAAATCGGATGTTTCGGTCTCTCAAAAACTCGATTTCTATTTTCTGCACTTTTTCGTCCGTATCTTCGAAACGGCTGGACCTGCCTTTGCCAAAAACTAATCAGTAGGAACTCCCTATCAATAGGAATCGAATGCTTTTGAACCATTCAAATCGGTTGATCCGTGCTCCCGAAAACGTGGACGAAAAATTGTATCCATACATACATACACACACACATACATTTTTTCGAGGTATGCCAAAATATTCAGAAACCTTCAAAATCTCGAGAAGTGTAAAAATTTTCAATTTCGATTTTTGGACGATTACAATAACTTACCCTAGAGGAAGTTAAAAATATATACGAACAACGAAATAATTAAATTATCATAAAATAACAATTAATATGTTATGTTAATTTCCGAACTAAAATATGAAACTATTTAAAATCATTTTAAGCGTTTTGTATGTAAGATTCATCTTAACAATGTTGCAAGAAATGAACAGAGCTTCAATATTTCTCCCAAAAAAGCTTATCAATTTATTAATTTTTATTTTAAAAATTGAATAATTCATAACGAGAAAATTTTATTGGGACAACGTTAAAAATTTTAACTAAGTCCCAGTAATTTTTTCTCTTTGTGAAAATTTCAACGTGGACTTCATTTCATTCGAGTGTTGGCTTTGGGAATTGGTGTGAGGGAACACTTAAAAACATAAAAAAGTTTCAACGCTGAACAGAAAAGCGAAAATTTTGTCTGGGACTCAGGGTTTTTTTTTTGGCCTCTCCAGCTCCCCCTTCTTCCTCCTCCTCCTCCTCCTCCTCCTCCTCTCCTCTTTTTTCTCTTTTTTTGCTTTTTTCCGCTTTTTTCACATTTTTTTTTTAATTAATATTTAATTGCTTCACGTGTTGCAGGAATGTAGAACTAAATTTTCTATCAAAATTTAAAAGCAATTCCACTAAACTATTATGATTTTATTAGAAAATTGCTTTTGTTAATAAATTTCAAAATAATTCATGTATATGAGTGCTATATAAATAAAACAGTGAAAACTTGTCTGTATATTTAAAAATGTAAAAATATTTAACAAATTTTATACCTGAGAAAGGAAAAGCAAACAAGTGTACTGTAAAACACAGGTTAGTGAAAGAAAATAAAATTTATTCTACACCAAATTTATTTATTTCAATAACCACCGACTAATTCATTGCAGTGTAAATTTTTAGAGAGTTTATTAAAAGAATGGAATATCGTTATTTAATTTATAAAACCGTTATTGTTAAAATTGAAGATTCAAATAACGTCGTTTCGATTTCAAAACAGAAGAGGCGTTCGAGTTTCTGAAACGCCATCTTCGACCGAGCGAACGTGCACGCTCTGCAGTCGCACGTCTACAAGTCTTTTACACATCTATGCTTTGCGACGATAGGAGTTGGGAGAGGGAGTTGTCTTGTCATTGCAAGAGTTCATTTCCATCGTGGCGATTGCTGGAAGAACACAACGAGACGTCGTCGAACACGGACGAGCGGGCCTGACCCTTTGCTGCCTGTGGAGAACATGCGTCACCTGGTACGTTGTACTTGTGCTAATTATGTTTCTATTTGCGGATTCACTCGGATTTCATTTCGTGTTTTAAGATGTTTTAGATTTAATTGAAACCTTTCTTTATTTCTGTTTTTTTTTTTTTGGAAAACTCGATTGCTCGATTTATGTAGTCTTTGCTCAAGTCTTACCACTGTCAAGACGTACGCCGGATATAATTTATCTAATTATTTTATTTTGCATCATTTGGTGCCCACTGTTAAATAAAACTACATATTATTATTTTGTTGACTGAGCAAGAGTTCACAATTGAATGGCTGGCGGTCATTGTGCAGAAGAAATAATCGAAAGTAATAATGACTGTTAATTCATTTTGAGAATTACTATGAGTACATTTATACGGATCGTTTCAATTGAAGTTTTATTTACACCATTATCATCTGCTAATTCACTTCAATTTATAGATCAGAAGTATTGTATAAATTGGACCACAATCATCATTTCATCAAGAATTTTAAAGCAAAATTTCTTTTCCATGAAAGCAATTTTTTTTTAAATGCATAATTTCATTTCTTTTACTTGAAAAAAGTTACAATTTGAACAACAAATTGACAAAGAATAGTTACAATTTGAATGTATATAAAGATGCAAACAAAGACTATTCTGTGCTTCGCTGGAGCGCTGCATTGCACACGAAGACAGCTTTGGTGACGCATCAACAATGACATTTAATAATGTATGTATAATCAACTAAATTCAATAATAATTTGTGTATTTTGCAGGTGCGGGTAGGTTTGCGTTTGCTGCTACCAGAGTCCTTCAATTTTTATACGAATATTGTTACTGTGACGCTTTGAATGTGGTATTTATTGGAATTGCATTTGGCACGAATAGATTTATTAAGCGGTGATTTTGTTCAAGATATTAATTGATCAATACTTTAGTTGTCACTATAACTTTTAGAAATTTACAAAATCATTAAGGCATTGAATTTCATGATTCGAATGATCACGATATGTCTTGCATGTGGGTTAATTTATTAGTTAGGTAGCTTCAGTAGTTTTATTATTAATAATAACAAATACTAATACACTAATCTATTCAACTAATAAAAAATAATGTGGTCGTTTGAATCATTTGAGATTATGCAATGTGGATTTGACATAGGTATTACATTAAATTTTAATTTTCACTGTTTTCAATTCATGTTAATGCATTTCATATAAAACCAAGTGCAATTCTTAAACTGCTAGTAAATTTCTACATTCTATTTCTGGTCATCAAGATGAAATCACACGGAAGCCACAAGATATCATATCAAGCAAATTTTTGAGTATCGAATGGCCAAGTATCGAGTGAAAATTGAACGCTAACTCACTTCACCGGGAATCGCTCTGAGAATAATTTAAAAAGTAAGTTTTTATCTATAATCAGTATGAATGTGAACAATAAATAACATGTTTATTTCTTTTTCAAGTCCTTTCAACTACTGCTGCTCTGCACACTCACTCCTTCACCAGGAATCGCTCTGAAAATAATTTAAAAAGTACGTTTTTATCCATAAGTATATATGTAAACAATAAATAACATGTTTATTTTTTTTTCCAGGTCCTTGCAACTACTGCTGCTCTGCACACTGACCCCTTCACCAGGAATCGCTCTGCAAATAATTTAAAAAAGTACGTTTTTATCCATAATCAGTATAAATGTGTTCAATAAATAACATGCTTATTTTTTTCCAGGTCCTTTCAACTACTGCTGCTCTGCACACTGATCCCTTCACCAGGAATCGCTCTGAAAATAATTTAAGAAGTACATTTTTATCCATAATCAGTATAAATGTAAACAATAAATAACATGTTTATTTTTTTCTCAGATCCTTTCAACTACTGCTGCTCTGTACACTGACTCCTTCACCAGGAATCGCTCTGCAAATAATTTAAAAAAGTACGTTTTTATCCATAATCAGTATAAATGTGTTCAATAAATAACATGCTTATTTTTTTCCAGGTCCTTTCAACTACTGCTGCTCTGCACACTGACCCCTTCACCAGGAATCGCTCTGAAAATAATTTAAGAAGTACATTTTTATCCATAATCAGTATAAATGTAAACAATAAATAACATGTTTTTTTTTTCCAGGTCCTTTCAACTACTGCTGCTCTGCACACTGACCTCTTCACCACGAATCGCTCTGAAAATAATTTAAAAAGTACATTTTTACCCATAATCAGTATAAATAAGAACAATAAATAACATGTTTATTTTTTTTCAGGTCCTTTCAACTACTGCTGTTCTGCACACTGACCCCTTCACCAGGAATCGCTCTGAGAATAATTTAAAAAGTAAGTTTTTATCTATAATCAGTATGAATGTGAACAATAAATAACATGTTTATTTCTTTTTCAGGTCCTTTCAACTACTGCTGCTCTGCACACTCACTCCTTCACCAGGAATCGCTCTGAAAATAATTTAAAAAGTACGTTTTTATCCATAATCAGTATAAATGTGAATAAATAACATGTTTATTTTTTACAGGTCCTTGCAACTACTGCTGCTCTGCACTCACACTACTTCATCAGGAACTTTTCCAGAAACATTTTACCAGGTATGTGTTTATCCATACCAGCATAAATGAAAACATTCCTAAAATGTTTGTTTCTTTTTTTGCAGATCTTCTCAATCCAACTATTACTGCCCTGAAGCTATAACATGTGAATGACTCGCAAGTGGTTTTTTTTAATAACTGCCTATAATTATGCATGATTAACTTAACTCTTATTAACTCAATAACATGACTAACCTCACTAACTTAATCAGTTATTATAAATACCACTTGTTGAGTTTTACTATGAAGATTTTACTGAGGTTGCTTGGAAGACGGGTGTGAATGATTAATCAGGTAATTTATTATTATAGTATATTTTATGAAACTTGTTACTAATTCATTATTTTTTATAGGGTAAACGACAACTTCAACCCAAGTGGTAAACTCTCAAGTTGCTCACGAGTGAGAACAATCATTTCATCTACTAATTATGCTGTCCGTCCGTCCGTCTTGTCACCAAAGAAGATGCTGCTGTGATCTACTACTGTGATCTATTGAATAGTTAAGTGCTTAGATGTTAATGAAATAATGAATAAATATATTGCATTTGATTTAATTTGTTGTTTTAATTTAATTATGAGCCACTTTACGGCCAAATTACATTATGCTGTAATGTAAATTACAAAAATATTTAAACATGTCTAAATTTTAAAAATTTCTTGTGTTATTAATAGGGATACTTATTGAATGCACTTTTTAGTGTAGACAATTGTGTAGAACAGCTTCTTTACTGTTTGGGTGTTTGCAACCATCTTGCCGCATCTTGGTTAAGCTCTTTATACCTTTGCTTTGACTCGGTAGAACTCTGCGTCATTGCTTTGACTCGGTAGAAACGCGTTGATAATAGACTTTGTTTTTTTGCAAACCCCTATGTTAGTCGAGTGCCTTAAACATTTAATACGCCAGACGACCGATGTTTCCTCTTATTTAAATATTTTACTTTCTATTATTTCTTTAAATGGTGCACTCATTTTCTTAGCTATAAATATCACTTAATTTAATGTCATACTGTGTTATTATTATTATATATACTTTAACATATATATATATATATATATATATATATATATATATATATATATATATAATACAATTAGACAAATATTAATGTATTTTAGCCATTTTCATTACTGCAGTTGTAATAATAAATTAATATAATTGTATTATTAAATACTGTGTTACATTAAGAGCTTTGAATAAAACTAACTGAACTTTATTTGGAGTGTTTCATTTCCCACCATTTTCAGTGATATATATTAGAAACACCGTACAGGTACAGATATTTAAACTGATAAGCTAATGTTATCATAAACATTAATATACTCATTAATTCGTTCGTCGGAAAGGATTTAATATTTTGAATAAATTTCATATATTATAATTTTTGTAATCTAATTATATCATGATCAATAAAGTTAATGTAGTTATAACTTTGGTCAGACTAATCTATGGTTTTTCACTCATTTTAAACGTGTCAAAAATATTAACATTTTTCAATCACTTTAATCTATATTTAACCCATCTATAGTTGAAATTACTAAACCTTATGGCACAAGAAGATTGAAACGACTTAAGATTGACTTAATCTTAGATTAGGTCTAATATAATATTATTATAGTAATTGTTAAACTAAGAAGATCTCATTGGAGCTATTCTTAGGCATTGCTCTTAAGCATTGTCATTTTAGCTCAAAGGAATCTATGTATTTCTGATTGCTAAATAAAACGAGTTAAAAAAAAAACTTTATATTATTATTTAACCCCTTAACTTACAATTTAGATTCCAAAATGTCGGTCCAAAGTTGTTCAAGCTGGCGCGGCGTTGTGACTATTTTCTCTCATAGTGCACGGTATATCACAAAAATAAATATAATTTTGTGTTTTATAGTTTCGTATAAAAAAATATTTTATAACTTGCATTCACCATGCCCGAAATGCGAAGGATTTGCTTCTTTCCCGAATATCGTACATGGGCTATGCCCGTAATATTCACTTTTGGCCTTGCAATCGCTCGCGGGCTCTGCTCGTCATTTTAAGTTAAGGGGTTAAAGTCTTAATTAGTTCATTTTAATTAATATACTTTGAATATTGGTCAGTTTTACTTAACTATAACTTATAAAAAAAACTACTTAACTATAACTTATAAAAAAAATTACTTAACTATAACTTATAAAAAAAAATTAAGTTCTCAGTCTCGTGATATTTTCTTCTTTTGCGCAAGAATATCTTCTTCATTATTAATATATCCTCATTTTTATGCGCGTAATTATTACACTAAATACATTAATATTCCTACCATATTGACGCAACCATCTCCTACCTTACTTTACACTACCCTACCTTAACTTTACACTACCTTAACCTAATACTTACCTACGTTAAGAACTAATACTATTACTTTGCTTACCTTTACCACGTCTCGAACCTGCTACCCTCTTCTCTCCAGCGACTCCCACCTCCTAACGCGCAACGCCACGACGATCACATTATTAAACTGTTACAACGTAGCTGATATTGTATATTTTAAACGAAAAAAAACTAACAGGTCATATGGCCAAAAAAAAGTTCGATTCGTATGGCCTGTGTTGGCGTAGTTGGTAAAGTGATGACTCCGTATCTAAAAGGTACCGAGTTCGAATCATACCTCAGGACAAAAAAAGAGTATTGTTCACGTTGTGGTATTTATTTAGTGTTGAATAACACAAAATTAATATTTAGATATAACAAACTAACAAGTCATGAGGCCGAAAAAAAGCGTGAAGGACGTGGCCTGTGCTGGCGTAATTGGTAGAGTGATGGATTCGTACCCAAAGAGTGCCGAGTTCGAATCGTACCTCGGGACAAAAAGTGGAAAGCGTGGAATTTATTTATTGTAAGATAGCACAAAGATAAAATTTAGATATAACAAACTAACAAGTCATGAGGCCGAAAGAAAGCAGAATCGATGTGGCCTGTGCTGGCGTAATTGGTAGAGCGATGGATTCGTACCCAAAGAGTGCCGAGTTCGAACCATACTCCGGGACAAAAAATGGAAAGCGTGGAATTTATTATTTATTGTAAGATAGCACAAAGATAAAATTTGGATTTAATAAACTAACAGGTCATGAGGCCGAAAAAAAGCAGAATCGATGTGGCCTGTGTTGGCGTATTGCTAGCGTGCTAGCTTCATGCTAACAGGGTACCGAGTTCGATTCATACCTCCGGACACAAAACGCAAAATAGCGTGACTGTTGACGCTGTGGAACGAGGTATGCACGGAATCACATCCGTTCGAATTTGAGACCCCAGGTATGCTCCCCTCGATCTCGATTGAGAGGAGAGATACGCGCGAGAATACCGTATCATCCCCTAATGAACCCCGCAGCAGACCCGAAAAGGGGCGAGGGGGGATTATAGGGGGGTGTGGGGTTCGCGAACCCGCGACCCTGTGGTTCCGCCCTCGAAAAAGGGAGAGGGGGGACTATAGGGGGGTGAGGGTTCCGCGCGACGACCACCACTGGGTCGCGCCGGTTGAAAAGCTGGGTGCGTCACAGGTTGGGTCGGTGTGCGAGTCCCCGGAGCACCCTCGAGAGCAATGATGGGGATGTAGGGTGAAGAAAATGCGGTGACGAGGAAAAAAGGGGTGGAAAGATATGAGGAGGAGGAGATAGGGATGGTGGGAGAGAGATAAGGGTGGTGGGAGAGATAGGGGGAGAGATAAGGGGAGGAGGAGATAAGGGGGAGGGATGAGAGAGGGGGAGAGGTAGGAGGGGAGG